TGCACGTGTGCTATGTTCCAGTTGGCACGTAATTAGGGCACTCGGGTTAGCGTTTGAAAATGAAGAGTAAAAACCACCTGTTTTGTTTGTGTGCAGTTAATTTTTATTAACTGCATTCTTTAGATGCATTTGTCTTTTCACAGGTATCTAATGAAAGCAATTGCATCATTTCTTGGTTGTATTATTGTATTCTTATACATATAAATAAATCTTTTAAAGTTTTGTGAAATATCACATTAAGACATCAGATTAAAATAGCTCGATATATTCAAATTAGCCATATTTTAAAATTCCAGGAACTTCAAACAAATTTACAACAAAATTAATCTTTTGGAACAATGCAAAGGAATAAATGAACACGTGATTAAAACAGTAAGTACCAAAAAAAATGGACAGTAATCTTTCTTTATAGTACATCGAGGTTAGAGAATTATTTGCATTATGCAACGAATAAAGTAAGAAGCATCTTATGCATTGTTCATGGAAGGGTACAGATTTTAATGCAGGGATTAGAGATTTTGTATTGCTCATTTACTAAATGAGAAAGTGACAGTAATGGGAGCCGAGCTGACTTCCAAAAAGAGGAACGGAGAGCATCACGGATGTCACATGTCCGTGAACGTTTGCTTGTGTCCTTCAACCATTAAGAACAATGTATATATTCCAAGTTTGCAAATAGAGAGGAAGACAACAAATGAGAGACCACCACATATCCAGGACATGTGAAAACCTGGGACACTTTGGTGAAATTCAACATCAGTGCTAATACGCTTAAAAGAAAATTTACATTTCATCTCCAGAGTCAGAGCAATACAGAAATAGGTTAAAGAAATAGAAAGAGCACTTGCAATGTACTATGAAGATTTGCTCTGATTATAATTTATCCTTTTTTCCTAAGTTTTAACTACATTAAATTTCAAAGAGATGATTAGGTAGTTCATACAATAATTAACACAATTGTTATAGAAATGAATCTCCTTTTGTGCACCTTACTTTCTGTGTTAGATTCAGAGTTATTGTTTCCATCCTTCTTTCCTTCCCTCTTTCCCACCTTCCCTCCCCCTCTCCTCCTCATCCTTCCTTCTGGTATTATTTACATGGCTGGGAAAAGAACAGCAGACTTTTTTTTTTTTTTCCTAAAATGAATCCTGGTTGAATATTTGTTAGTCACAGATTTGACAAGAATATTTACTTCCACTTGGTTTAGGCTCCTTTGTGCTATGACCGTTGTGAAATGCAGAATAAGAATGTATTTCTTCATAGTTCCCACTAGACTGTCACCTCCATGGAGGGCAGGCTCATGTATGTTTTGTTCATGGTCACATTCCCAGAATTGATACCTGTGCCTAGTAATGCGTATGTACTCAGAGAGGAGAGGGAGAGAAAAAGAAGATGCTATTGGCCACCTGGAGCCCAGATGGAATACAAGCCTTCGTTCTAGCATTACGTCTAGCAATGATCGACACGCACACACACCACTCAGAGCACATGCTCTTAGGGGCATCCCTTGATCTCCAATAGCAGACCAAGTTTCTTTGTTATGAATGTGCTGGGGTAGCTCCTTGAGTAGGAATGGGGGAAGAGCAAGGGTCAGAGATTTCATTCTATTTGCATTGCTCTTTTGGACATTGATAGGACATGCCATGGTAACTATAGAGTCAAAACTTAATTAAGAAAAAATAGGTAATCTCTATCCAAATTTACCAAAAACTCCTATCTCAGTAAACTACTCCTTTTCCTCTTCATCACCACTTCGGAAAGAAATAAGCAAACTGTAGCTACTACAGAACAGATACCCCTTTCCAGCGCCTTCTGTTGAGGGGCAGTCAGGAGTTGGCATGCCCCTCCTTCCTTGTTCTTGGTCAATTCCTACTAATTTTGAAGTTTCTAGAGAGAGTGCCAATTCCTCACAGGGCAAGGTCATAGTCAACCAATATATTGTGCTCTTCCTTTATGCTAATCAATACCTCAACATATCCCAAAAGTATGGTGAATAAGTGAATTGATAAATGAATTGTAAATCCACTCAAAATTCTTTCACAAAAGTACATTCCCTATATAGATAATATGAGTTTCAAATTTATCCGTAAAATAAGTACCGTATAGAGTTCTTGTGAGGATTGTAATGAGACACACAAAACTTTGCAGTTCAATGTGTAGCATATATTTAGGCTGATTCGTGATAGATCCTTCTCTCTCTTAAAAAAAAAAAAAAAGAAAGTCTTCACTGTGCCAACCTCATGCACCACTTCTTAAGAATATCTCAAGCAACCTGCAAGAACCTTCTTTTTAGTGATCTCGTGCTTGAACGAAGATCTTACCAGTGGCCAGAGGGGATGTAGAGCACAGCACGTAGTACAGAGGTGCTCTTGCCATTTAGTGAGCTGGGATGATGTACGTAAAAGAGTGAAGTGGGCTGAGTGCATGTCAGAGACAGGCCTTGGAATTAAATTAGGAGAGCAGAGGCGAGGCTTGCCCATCGCTGAAGGGTGCAGGTTTAGCGGCTGAAATCGTGGGACTGCACGACAATATTCAACTTGTCCCAAATTTCTCACCTTCTGCCTTCTCAGCTCCATCAATATCCTAACAGATACCCGAAGACCTAAAGAGGGCTATTATAAACTCTCCCAACCATAGCCAAGTTGCTTTTAGCTTTTTATTTATTTATAGAAGAGTCATTACACATATAGTTCGAATAAACTTGTTTATGATCATCGGTCTATGTTTCCTTTGCTGCATAACTGGAAAGTGTTAAAGAAAAACAAAAACAAAAAACTCCATCGGTTGGAAACCTTAGCTAAACTTATGTTTAGAAATAGAATCAAACATGTTACTGGGACTAAATGCAACATATGCTCATATAAATTATAGCTCAAGTATCTACGTACGAGTGAACTAGAGAATGTTAGAATGTATTGAGATCCCTATTATCCTCTGTGCAAAAAAAAAGAAAAAGAAAAAGAAAAAATCAGTTAGTTCTTAAAATATTATTTGGATTTTTCTTCCAACATGAAGAGAAATAATGATGAATCTAGTCAAGTACTGGAAAAATGGCCTTAGCAGCTATTTTTAGACATAGTAAACATATTTTGGTCAACAAGTAAATAAGCAGTGAATAGCTCATGTGTTAAATACCTTGATATCTTAGAATGTTAAGCTTTCTTACCTCTAAAAGTGGTGTTAAAACCTATTGCTTTCTATATACATTTTCCCCTAAATCGATCCATGAATATTCTTCTAATTGAGTTAATCAAGCCAATCAAACACAGCAATTTAAGAACATTATTAATGTATACTCAGACAATTGAATGCGATATACTCTATACATCGAGAATGTCTAGGATCTATGTTGATCCACCAAAACCTCTGCTGATTTGTGATGCCAGGCAAAATTAAGTGGCTGAGAGGAGGGGCATTTCAAAATGTACCAGTGTGTGTGGACAAGAGGTTCTTTTTTGAATATATTCACTGAGAGTGATGTGGCAGGACTTCTGCCATGCCTGGGACTTTTGATATAATTACGCCATTCTCGCCAGCCATTTAATCATTCTTCTCTACCTAAAAAGTCAGCCAATCAAATGTCTAATACATGGGGTCTAGGCCAAATATGTGTATTCTTGTGTCATCTGCTTAAAAATTGTGCCTCTCCAGGTTTCTATAAATTAAAGCATATTCATAGACTTATCTTTTCCCCTGAGCAGATTCTCCTGTTTCCTATCCTTCCTGGAAGTTTCATTACAGTAAATTCAGCTCTGGATATGGCCTAAGTGAGTAATCTGCATTATTTCACTTTTGAAAACTGATTACCACTATATGTACTTATGTTACTTTCGTCAGCAAAATTAACATATTCTTCCAAAGTTTCAAGATTTGAAGCTCTTATAAAAGCTTTTATCCCAATTAGACCTAACTTTGGGGAAGTTAATGAAGAAAGGGATTGCTTTGACAGAGAGGGCACTTTATGTTTCCCTTGGAAGTGTCACATACTGATAATCATTGCTTTATCGTCAAGATGATAATAAAAATAAATGGTGTCTGTTCGAATTTTCCCTAAGATAATGCCTTGGGAGTGCGGGACCTGGATGTTCGGGGAGAGTAAGTCACCTTGGGTACGATGATGACAAGGAAGTGTTCCAAGCATGACCATATGCACGCGTGTCTAATGGCTGTGTCATCCCTCACCCACACAGAACATTCCTCACAGGGCAATCTCCAAAAAGGACTTTTCTTCCAGCAAACGTCCTCTTGGTGTGAAAGTGGGGGAGTACAGAGACAGGGAAATTCACCCCAACACGGCTATGTGGGGGTGCAAGTTAGGATACACCGTGCAGGTCATTTTGTTAAGCGTGTCCCTCACTTTCGCTATCAATAGTATGTTCCCACATTGTTCCCAGTACTTTTTAATTTTCCACATCTTCCCTCCAGCTCCCTCTCCCCCACCCCCAATTCCTCCACATACTGAACCTGGCTCCCTTCTGCCTGTGGGCATGTTCTGTACAGTGTTAAAGGCAGTGCTACGGCTTCTGCTGTCTTCCTGGTTACCTGCACATGCATCTAATTCTTACCTTGATCAGACCTCATGTGACTGCCAACCCAAAGCCTTTTCACTGGATCTCATTTGAGATCACACATCGTGGGAATTGAAAGCAAACACTGAGACTCTGACTAGTGATGGAAAAATGGTATCATCCACGTGGCGATTTTACATACATGTTGATGACCGAGAGAGGAAGAAGAATCTCCCTTGAAAATAATAGTGTGGATTCAGGTCTTCGATTGCCCTCTCAACCTAGGTTAATGTGATTTTCACTCATCTGGAAATTGGAGAGAAAAAGCAGGAAGCGCTGAGAAGGAAGCCCGGATGAGGGAGGAGGAACGGTCTGCATTCACACGGTAATGGGAAAAAAAATGACAGCCAACTTAGGTTTAGCTTGAATGCAACATTGCAACATATCCACGACTTTATCACTCTGGAGGCACATTTTGACACAATAACAAACTACTGAGAAAGAACCACTTTTATCTAGGTCAGAATGACAGACTCCCAAGTGTTAGAGAGCTTGGGGAAACGACAGTTTGAAACATCAGGGAGAAGTCTGCAATCTGTACAGAGATTTTCATCAAGTCGCAGACACTGCCTAATAGTTCTCATCCAATACATTGTAATTACTCCACTGGCTTATAATGGCATAGCATTTTGATTTCGGAGCCTACCAAAATAAAATGAACCGCATTTTATAACAACTACATTTATAATGAGATGCAGATGGTAAAGCAAACAGATGCCTCTGACATCATCTCCCATTTGCCTTCAACTTCTGCAGACACTGGCAGTCTGTAACTCATTCAAAGGGATGCAAGATAAGTCGGGCAGTTTTCCAATTCTGTTTCCAGTCTGAAAAAAACACTGGCAGCAGTGGCACTGGTCCCTTTGAGTCATACAGTGATAATTCCATGAAAAGAAATTTGATTCTAAGTCTACGTCAGGCTTTAATACAAAATTAATCAACAGGGGGAAAAAATCCCCACAAATACCAGGAGTTTAGCAATTAGTAACTACTGATTGTTTTGCATGACAGTGACAGAAAGGATAGAGTGGGAGTGAGGTGACGGCAAGCAGCTGTAGCTTTCAGGAGGCAAAAAACGAGAAAGGAGCATTTTAAATGTCGACAAGCAGGTTGAAAATACTCTACCAGCCCTTGGCATCCAAATTATTCAAAGACTGATTCCTTATTATTTCAAAGTAGAAAACTTGAAGGCGGCTTTCAGGTCACTGATCCTGACATTTCTGTATTTCCAGCCATATTTTTCCAGAAGGAATCCTACAGTTTTGAGTTCTGATAGGAGCATTCCCCAGCGAAATCGCTGAACAGTATACATGGTAAAGGATTTTTTTTTTGGAGGGGGGGGGGGCGAGGAGGTGCAGGATAATTGTGTTAGAACTCTTTAGAAAGGAGCTTTTGTAGTCCATCTCAAAAGTTAAGAGGTGCTTGGGGAAAGCAACAATTGCAAGGCCTTCAGCAGTGTTTGAGGTTCCAGGATACATCAGCACAGTTGCAGGTGGAGGAGAGAGTTAAGCAAAAACCTTTAAAATCTTCTCCTCTCCCCTGACCACAATATAACTTCATCTACACCTCTGTAGTGGAAAGTTTTTAGCAGAAAAAAATTCAGCAACGAAGGCAAAGAAAGTGATGACATAAAAATAAATCCTGCTAGGCCAAATATGTTGCCTATTTTTAAAAGAACCTCTCTGTGCAAATAACTGCACACACACACACACGCACACACACACACACACACACACAGTACAAGAATAAACAAACTCTTCTAATTCATGTCCACAAATTGGGTTGGAAAGTATTAGTGCAAATTTCTGCTGACCTGCAGCATTCAGTCCATAAACTTTGGATATCCTAGACGGTCCATCAGTGTCCAGCAGATGTTTTCGATCAGTTTAATTTCATCCCTAGGCAAGTTCTGTTTCCAAACATTCGTGTTACTTGGTGATATTTCTCCTTCGTAGGGAAGATAGAAAAGATTCGTGGAAGTGGCAAACAATATTTGGTTTAAACTAGCAGGAGACAAAGGAATTCCAAGAAAGGCAAAAATCCTTTCAGTGGTTTTCTGAGGAAAATGCACGATATCTTCAAACTTGACCAGCTGGTAGCTGGTATGCAGCAAATCTGTATTTATTCTCAGGGCTGCTGCTGTGTTTGCCAGCCACAAATGAGACAACAGGGAGACCGCGTCTGACTTGGGTTTTGATAATTCTTTCCTTAACGCTTCATACTCGAGAGCGTAGCCTGAATTTAAGCTACATCTGCCTTTACCTCCATCTACTTTGAACAATTTGGCCAAGCGCTCCGGTATACTCTTCAGAGAGTAAAGACTTGGTTTGCTACTGTACAGCATTGAATAAATCCACGCTCGCGGGTCCCTTACTATGTACAGTGCCCTCAGTGAAGTTCCCAAAACTTCTTGAAAAAAGCGAAGCTTTAAGGTCCAGCTCCCGCTGCTTAAACTAAGCACAGGCCGTGCGCCTGGGTAGTAAACCAGATGTCTCCTCAAGGCCCTGATGTATTCAGCATCTCTGTCAAAGGCGCCTTTCATTCTACTTCTTTGTTCTGGCAAAGACTCTCTTTTTCGTAATTTTCTTTTTTTGTCCTTATTCACTGTAAAGTATTGGGCCAGTTTACCCCTACTGGGTTCACGCAGATGGATGTTTTGCAAGTGCAGCTTTGTGTCCTGGACTAAGGACTGCAGCCAGCCCCGCAGTAAGCGGAAATGCGAGCTGCGGACATCTGATGCCTTCCATTCACAGGCGTCTACAAATGAGTCGATTTCGAATTCAGTTTCGGGGATGTCAATGTAGGCTGTGGGAACCCTGATGTAGAGGAAATCACTGCTGTTGAAGAAAAGCTGTTTGAGAATTTCAGCTCCTGAACCCGGAAGTGAGGCAATGACCACGTCGGGAAGATAGGCGTGGTGCCCAGGGGAAGACAAAGACTGCGTGCCCGGCCCAGCCTCCGTCCTTGCCCACTTTGCACAGATGGGCTGAGTGCAAGTGCTCCACACATCCAGCAGCTCGATGAACCACAGGGCGACTACAAGTGTTAGGATCCATCGCATTAGCTTTCTAAAAGAAAGGTAAAAGCGCCACTGAAAAGTTAAAATCAACAAGCTAATGCACAAAATCAACCCAATTGCTATATTAAATTTGAATCCAAAGGGGAAAATAACTTGATCGTGTCTCACGGGCTTTACTATTGCTTGCGTGCCCAAACCAAATCGGGTGATTTGGCCCTGATCGGCCACGTTGGCAAAGCCACCGAATCCCAGGTAACTGAATCTTGTGTTCAGGTTGCGGTAGTCAGTTACGATGGAAACGACGTGTTCAGAATTATTGACGTTGAGAGAAATCTGAAGACCAGAGTTGGAATTGTCAGTAAATCTGCAGCTGGAAACATTGACATATGGCCCATAAAAGACATAAGCAATTCTTGTGATCGGGGACTCCATCTGAAACGTAACATTAACAAATTGAGTCCATCGTTTCTTAAATTCGGCGGCTTGCTCTGCTTCCTGTATACTAGCAACGGGGCTAGTGCCACGATCATCAAACCAGAACATTTTGTAGTGTGCATCCCACACGTCCATCATGGCACCATTATACCTGTTCATAAACCTATATGGGATGTACTTAAAATCGATATCCAGATTATGAAAGAAGGCACTGACAGATTTTATTGGGGAATCGGCTTGCCTCTCTACGTGATCGACGACTAGCAAAGTCTGAGAATTTAAGAGAAGCAGAGCACGATACACGCTTCTCAGCTTCATGGCTGAAGAGTAAGCAGACACTGCCTCCCCGCTCACGAATATCATTTCCCCATGTTGAGAGGCGGTGATGATCTCCCCCGCTGCGTCGCCAACCTCCTCACTGGTCCACTTGAGCCACTGTGCGCATTCTCCCAGTTGACCCTCCCAAGGCTTATTACACTGGCTGGTGGGCGATGGGGCAAACACCAGCACGTTGTTGAGGTGGCTCAGCTTGGGTCCATAGAGAGCTTCGGAGACGAATACTTGCCCATTGGGGGCGAAAGTAAATGAGTTCTGATCTGGGTGTTCGTGTCCCGGGTTAAAGCTTCTCCACCCGTCGATCCAGGAGTATGGCTGAAAGTGAACTATGTCGTACACAGCTCGACCCCCTAGCTTTCCAGATTTAAAAGACACAAAGGTATTGGTCTGTGTATTTGGCAACCCAGCCCCGTAAGTGACAACACCCCAGTTGGGGAACGTGTACATTTTTGCAGTACCGTATTCGGAAGGAGGCTGTGGGGTGAGCTGGGGGTCATACCAGATGTATTCGGTGTGAAGAGTACTCCACCTCTGGGCGGTTGAGGGGACCATCGGCCCATCTTTAGGTCGGTGCCTTCTAATCTGCTGAGCCAACCAATTTCCAGCTCCATTCTTTAATATGAACTTATCCAAAAAAACCAACTGGCTCTCTGGACCATAAAACCAATTATAATTGGAATCTGCTATACCCACAGTTCTTTGGAAGCCTGGCAAAAGGGTGGCATAATAGAACCAGAAGTGCATTTTTAACCAGTTATTATCCAAGTTGTTGATATTAAAATGGCGCTGGGCCAGAAAAACATACTGTGTGACCGATTTAGCTGTGTAACTTCCATAGGCCACACCTTCGTCCAAAGAACCATCGACGATATGATTCAATAGAAACATTGTCTTCTCCATCACATCTACTACAACCTGTTTCCACAAATTCACTTCAGATCCTTTATCTACCCCCGTCACCAAGGCCCCGGTGAGTAACGCTATCATATTAGTAGCTTGGTGATTATGAAGAAGCTGTTTGCCCCAGGAGCGAACCTTGGAATACTCATACATTTCTTCGGTAATCACCCATATTTTTTCCAGGTATTTTTGTCTTCGATGGTCATCTAATAAGTTATATAAAAAGTCAAAGGCAGTAGCAAAACCTGTTAAGGAATGGCCAACTGGAACCTCATCCCCCGGCGCATTCTCAACTAGCCAGTCTTTGTAGCCAACCATCCTGTCCATATATTCCAAGACAAATTCAAAGGCAACTTTGTCTTCCGGGCATAACAAACAGTACAGTGCTAAGGGAGGCAGATTGTTACCGTAAATTTCATTCCACTTGGCAGCGAAGTCAGCGTGCTTGGGTGGAGGTAGGTAGTATGTTGGGTTGGACAGCATGACTGTCACTGCACTTCTGATAGCTCTAAAAAGATGCAAATGGCTTGTGCGAGACTTTTGTCTCATTGCTTGGATTTCTCCCGCATCAAAATATAAACTTGGATGAAGCATACTCTTCTTCAGCTTTTGGTTGGGTCTGAAATCTTGCACTTTCTGTGTCTTAAACTGATCTATATCATCTGTGAAAAGTGCCCAGTCAGAGTAATTGCTTACAGATTCCTCAAAAGTAGAGAAAGCAAACATCACTAATGCTAAAAATAAGAAATGTCCTGTAAACATTAACGCCATGATCCATCGGGGAGTTCCTTCCCTTAAGCATTCACGTCAGACAGAGTGCTCAGTGCGTTTCCCATCTGCTTAGTATAAAACATACATTTAAGGCCTTGATAAAACGAAGACTATAAATCGCTTACACTGTGAAATCCAGCTGACGTTCGGCTCATTCAAAGCAAGTACAGTTGCCAAAAAGAGAAAACTTACACTGTGTATCTGTGTCCTCGATACAGTTTTGCTTCCAATAAAACTTCAAAGAATGTTAAAACCTCTAGTTTTTCCATATCGCACAGCAAACTGTGGTACAGAGAGTCAAACATAATATGAGTTAATTCAGGATTTACTTCCTTTGCATGAAATCTACCTAACGTGAAGAGTCAAAACACACATTTTTTTTTTTTTTTAAAAAAGGTGTTCCAAAATCCAGATTAAGAAGTCATTCCTAGCATAGGAAACCACAACCAGCAATAAAACCACCATAGACGTGGGATGCCCCTGTGTGTGTTTTGCCCAGAGAAGGTGATGAGGAAATTCTTGGAGTGGGCTCGGTTGTTATTCCTCTTGTATATTCCTCTCAACTCTTTACACTTCTTGCTTTGAGAATTTTTTTTCTTCTTCCATTTTGGGAAAAAAACATCTTCAACAAGTGTTCACAGTCCTACCTGGTTTTAAAAATTCAGAATTCTCGCTCTCATTTCAAATCTGTCTTTTTCAGGCTTTCTTACTCATCAGCCTATGATGACCCGGGAAAAGCATTTTCTCATCTTCTTTTATGACTGTCATCTGTACAACTAGAAAACTCTAATCTCTTCAGCCACCTAGGTACTTCTCTTCCAATCATGAAGTAACCACCAATTGGGAAAGAAAACTCCCCTCACGCCAACACTGACGTCTTTTTTCTGTTCTTTTTTCATGACACTCTTTTCTGGTGAGGAAAAAAAGAAAAAGAAATTCTCTGAGGCTACAGGTGTGCTAGGAGTGAATATAAACTGATGATTTCAGTGTTGACAGAAATTTCAGAATCACAAATAAAATCTGTTATGAAGTACACTCTAAGTTAGCTCAAGTGATTCTTGTTTTCTTATATTTGTTAAGTGCACACTCAGAAGCCAAGCAGCTGCAAGATCTAACTTTTCCGACAGTATTTATCTTAACTATGACTTGCTTTCCACATTTAACATGTTTTTATTCAAATGCCGTTAACACAGAGATGACCCCTGCTACCATTCTTGTTGTTTTGGTCACAGAAGGATCCGGGGACAAAAAGCGAAAGTGGAAAAGACCTTTTTCTGATTCTGGTGGAGGGTTTAGCTTTCATGGGATCAGAAGGTGGGAACTAAGACCCGTCACTTTCCTCAAAGGAGAAATCGCGACAAGGCGTGGGAGCAAAGAAAGGCAGCTCCGACTCACTGTCACCTGTAGCTTCGTTTTCCGTCCTCGCGAGACGCCACCAGAGGGCGCTCAGACCCAGACTTGGGGCGCAGCGTCGCCGCGGCCCGTCTGCGGGTCTGAAGAGCCTACCCAAGTTTCAGTCCTGGGCCCGACTCCTCCGCGGGGAGCGTCAACGCTAGGAGTTTCCCGACCCGCCCCGCCTGTTGCATTTTTCCATGCGCTTCCTACGAACACGCCGCCCCCGCCCTCCGATCCACCCCCGAACTCTGGCTGTCGTTTGGGGACAAGAGACCCCTACATGGCCAAGTCCACTTACCTTCGGCAGATCCGCACCAGGGTCTCCAGGCAGCGCCGGGCCCCAAGGAGGCCAGAGGTGGAGAGTTCGAGAAAATTGCCCCGCACAGGAGGCCGGGCCGCGCGGTCCCGCGCGGGGCGACCCGCGCCCCCAGTCCAGCGC